GTTGAAGTAATTTCTCTTTAATTATTATAAATGTTGGAATTATTGACTCAAAGATTAGATAACATTTACAATTAATACTATTATTTACCGTATATGCAAATACATGTAATGTTTGACTCAATAATCAGTTTTAATAAACATGTTTTCAAATTATAATAAAACATAAACAAATTAAAATTAAGATGTCTTTATTGAATAATGTTATTTAATACTAAGTTAGTTATAATTACCTGAGTTATTAGTACAGTACATTGTACATTGAAATTCGAGATAATTTTATTACATAACAATTTCGGTTAATTTGATTTGATTATATTGATTTCAATTCTACTTTTGTTATATAATCTCTCTATGATTAGGTAATACAACAACAAATCAGTGAATAATAACTTTTATTCAATTTGTTGTGCAATTCTAATACTGATTATATAAATGGATTCATTTGGAGATTCAAACAAAATCGCTATTTCTGTGCCATAAACATGCGTTCAAACAATACTCTATTATTTAATAGTTATCAAATTGTTTTGTAGACATATCTAAACACATTTGTATCTCTAAAACTGAGTATTTTTATGTTAACTAAACCATAATATTAATACTATTGTACATTACTATCATAAGATAACATTATTTCTATATAAATTATAAAGGTAATATATAAATGATTAAAACAATCGTATACATNTAAACCATAATATTAATACTATTGTACATTACTATCATAAGATAACATTATTTCTATATAAATTATAAAGGTAATATATAAATGATTAAAACAATCGTATACATGAATAAGTGGTTAAAAATGAATGACAATTAACTTATAAATATGGCATCACTGAAGGAATTGATATACTTCCTCAAAATCAATGACTTTTCTTACTTCTAGATTCTAATGAATGTAATACAGTATAGAGTCTATACTATAGACTAAATTGTTGTCAAATTGAATTCTACAGTATTGTGAGAGGACAGCCGTCTGATGCATTTGCAAAGCTTTTCCAAAAGTAGTATTTATTTGAATATTCTTTGAATTATTCTTTAAAAGAGGGCGCATAGCAAAGCGCCTTCTTTTGGGTCACAGAGAGGCCACATTTGGTTTTGTCAGGCCTCATACACACCTGTAATAACCCCCAAAATTGATAAATATAAATTGTCATACCTGTATAAATATTAAACGATTGTTTGGTACTTTCGAAATTATTTTCAATGACAGGAATGGTATTTCTGGAGACGAAACGGCATCCTTCCGGGAAATTACGTGATATTCATACGACACAAATGTGTCCAAAGATGAGATTTCATGTACCAATGTTTTCATATCTTATATGGGATTATGGCTTAAAGTTGTCATAAATTTGGATAAAAGAGTCAGCTATTGCTTAGACTGGATAACTTTACTTAACTCAACAAAGTTGTCACCTTTTGATTGGCTTTATAACTGATCCACAATTGCAATACCCGTATTACACTTTCAACTTATTTGAGATCAGTTTTAATGTTTTCTATTTAATTAGAATTTTAATATTATTAACAATTTATTGAAATGTTATAATCCAACGGTACAAACATTTACAAACAGTTTATAATTAAGAAACCGTTTAATTGATAGAAATTATAAAGTTTTAAGCATTCACAAGTGGATCCATTAATAACAAGAAAATACACTTAAAAATAAGAGCAAAACCTTTTTGAGTAATTTGAAAATTAAATTTGTATTAAGAATCTATTAATTTGTTAAAATCATTTATATTTACATAAAAATATTATTTATATAAATGTAAATTCATTTTGAATGTAATCAATATATCAATGTTGAAAGAGAAGTAATTCTTTGGAAGTAATTATAGGAAGAATCAAATAATGATTTCTACTCACATTTTCTACATTTTTATAATTATTTTTCTAGTAAATTGTGACTTTGTATACTTTATAAAACATTAGTATTAATACAGTGCATTGCATTATATTTGTTCATCTTAGTTTTAAAATTTTTTAGGTGTTAATGTTTTTACACTTAATAATTTAGTTTTTAATAAAAATATATTATTTTAATATAATTAGGGAAACGACTGAATAAAATGAAGAAAGTTCAACGAATTTATTAGATTTGAGCACAAGTTTTGAAATTACTTTCATTTAATGTGACAAGTTTCTAGTTTTTATTATTATTTAAATTTTGTATTAAATTTTATTTTTAAAATAAATAGCACATAGCAAACAATATACAAGTTAATAAATGTCAAAGAATTCAACAGGCTATTCTCTAATTAAATCAATTATTTATTCTAATTGTATTCTTGGCATTGAATTCAATTATTAGGGAATGTTGTCATAGTATTGAAATACTAAACTAAATATCAAAGCATAAATAAACGAAGTAAAATAAAAACAAATCAATAGAGTAAGTGTTATATGAAAACAGAGTCTTTATTATTAACAAATTGCAATCTAACCGTAAAACATAAGTTGCTTTAGTTGTTGACAACTCTAATCATAGCAACCATTTATTATACGAGACATTAGAAAAGTACAATCATTTAAGACAATATATTGTCTATCTAATTGTCTGAATATTATTTTTTATAAATAATTTTACTTTATATTTTTAAGCCAAGAACTAGAGAAATGCCTTTAAGAGCGGATTCTTAAACATAAAATTATGGGTAAAATTCAATTACAAAACTTTGAAATAGTGTTGGATGCAAATAAGCGGACGTATGAATTGGGTGACAACGTTGTGGGCAAGTGTGTGATCGCACTCGAGGGCGAACTCCACTTATCCATGGTTTGTGTGCTCTTAATTGCAATCAAAAATAATAATTTCATAAATGTATACATATTTACAGATAAGGATGCAATTGATAGGATTAGCAGAAGTGAAATGGACTGAAAATAAAGGGTCAGGAAATCACAGAAGGAATCGTACTTTTTATGAATCCATTCAATATCTGGAAATGGATTATGATTTTGTCCGCAACAGTATGTGTCTATACTATAGACAGACAGCAATTGTAATCGAGTTTTGTTTTGTTGCAATCACTTATATATTATTCATTATAGCGTTCAATGGAATGATAACCAAAGGGATCCACGAATTCCCGTTTTGCTATCAATTACCCAAAGAGTAATCCATTTATTAATAATTCGATTACTAATAATTCAATAGTAAGAACACATGTATTAATATTTCATATATTTATATACTGTATACAGAGGTATACCATCCAGTTTTGTCGGACATCACGGATCTGTTAACTATTGGATCGAAGCCGAGATCCAGAAGCCTTTGTTCTCCTTTAACCACAAGACAAAGACCGAGTTGCAGGTGGAGGCGCCTCTTGTTTGCGAAGATTTAATGGTAAACGAGTTTATATATTGTATTGCTTTTATAATATTGAGACACTTTTCAGTTGCCATTGAGTGTAAGTAGCGAAAAGAAAATTGGTTTCTTATGGCATAAGTCTGGTGTCATTACCGTTGATGTCAATATTGACAGACGTGGCTATTATCCGGGTTTGTTTGTTTTTACTTGCTTTTAATAATAATACCTTAATTATATATAAGTCTATGTGTTTCAATACAATTGAAACATAAGGCGAGTTAATACCCGTGAACTGTAATATCGCCAACAAGTCGGCCATAAGAGTGAATCCGAGGGCGACTCTGAGACAAACGCAGACTTTCACAGCAAAAGGAAAGCATAAGAAGATTAAGGAAACTAAATATGTAAGATTACAAACTAATTGTTACAACAATTCATTTGTACACTTTATTCAGGTAAGAGTGGAGGGTTTACCTGTTGAGCCCGGACTGACTAATGTGGAAACACTTCAGGTAATTAACTGCTTCTCACAATCTTTATGACTCGCAATAATGTCTCAAAAATTATTTGAATTGAGTACAGGTGCCCATTCCTGCCAACATTCACTTATCTACCGAATGTCCCATTATTTCGGTCGCATATGACTTGCATTTGACGGTTGAAATCCCTTCAGCACTCAATCTACACATAGATCTGCCCATAATTGTCACTAAAGAAAGTGTTATGAATAACTCCAAAGTCTATGCCACGGGTTTTGGTTACAAGAATTCAGATATGCTTTATGTCCACATCTGATTCACTCAAATCAATGTATATGTATATCAATCACGTATTTGACACTCAAGTTAATTGATTAATTTTTAATTACTGATTATATCCTAAATAATTCTTATAATATCTCAAATAAACTATTTTACAATTTAGTTATATTCACAAAATAAGTGCTGATATTAAAATAATGTATTTTTAACACAATATTTTCAATGTTATAACTTTTATTAATAATTTAATGTTGACTCTGTAAATCGCTTGTATTTAAAAACCACAAAAATAACTACTTAAATATATTCTTATATAAATATATCAATTTCTATTTTTCATATAATAACTGTTTCAACTATAATTTATAAATTATTCAATTTTATTTTTATTTATTACACTGTATACTGTATAGTCTTTACAAAAAATATTTTTTATTTATATTGTACTGTGTTTCATAATAAAATTATTATCATTTATGTTTAAATGTATTAATGCCTTAATAGTCGCCCAATGCGTGTCTTTCACATATTTGACATGAAATGTGAAATTCTTTCACCAAAAATACATTTCAAAAGAAAATATTATCAAAAATATTTGAATTATATTTTTGTTTTTATTAAAATTCTTTTGAAGTGATTCACAATTTTTGTGAAAAATCAACATTTGTTTCACAAAACTCTTTGAAAACATTTGGAAACTTGTAATGACAAATAAAATTAAACTGTCGTTATTGAAGTCATTGAATGGTTTAACAGAAAGCATAAATTGATTTTATCTCATTACTAGAATTGTACGCAAAAGTGAAATAACTTATAGACAAAATCAAACATAAATTTAAAAATAAAATTTATTACCCTAAGGTATTATTCAGTCGCCTATTATTTATTTAATTAAAGAACAATTCAACGTTAACTTTAGAAATGTATTTTGTGAATTTAAAAGAGAAATTATAATCTTTTAACAAATTAATAAATGAAATGTATTTGACAATAGATTCAATTAAAATAAGAACCTATTTCATTGGATTTCAACAGTTATATCATTGGATTTAAAAAAATAAAATGATCTTTGAATTGGAAGCACTTAAAAATCAAATGAATGTTAAATTAAATGGACAAAGTGAGTATTATAAAAGTACTTCAAATATAAGGTAATTCTCTGTAAATTAGATTTAGTTTTTGACACTAATGTTAGTGAAAACACAAGTCTTGTAAAGCCTTAGTCCTGAAGTATACTGTACTGTATTAATACTACTGTATGGTATAAGTGTTTGTAATATTGTAAGCGCCCACTATTGAATGGCTATTTGAACAGTATTTCGATTCAGCACTAAATTAAAGTTAAATTTGTGAAAATGTATATTTTTTATAACTCTAAGGTCTCCATAAATTGGAATTAATGTCACAAAAGTCACACAAATTTTCTTTTATATCACTTTCTAATTTGGTTTGAGTTGAAAAGCAATTTATTTTTCATTTATATTTCATACTAACTTTGAAGCATTTATTACACATTTCGGATTTCTATAATTTAAATGTAGTTTTATTGAAAAAATAAAAAAGTATTTTTCACAGAAAACCACACGTTTATTATGATTAATGGAAAACATTTATTCTGTATTTAAAACATATTTTATGCCGAAATATATATATATTATATATACTGTATATACTGTACGCTACGGTTGTATAGAATTTGGTTGAGTATTACATATCGATCGATGACTTAATTCCGTGAAAGTCTGTCGCCATAGATATGTCTCATCCAATGAAAGGGAGTAAGACTTGCAATACAAGCGTTGGTTTACTTTTACAAAAAGTTCATTACTTATTCCAATTGAAGTGAAATAACTGTTAGTCAACCATCAGTTTAGTCAACAAATCCGCACATGTTTTACACTAGAATTCAATTATAATTCTTGTTTTCCATACTTGTATTCAAAGCGTTTAATAATGACGAGTGATATTCATCTGACAAATGCAGAGATAGTATTGGAGGGCAACAAAACCATATACCAAGTGGGAGACTATGTTCACGGAAAGCTACACATCGCGCTCAACGGACACTTGCCCCTGTCGTTGGTCAGGATTGGCCTCACATGTGTGGCCACCATTAAACCAGTCGACAACTCCATGTACCAAAAGGAAGGCCGTGTTTGTATGGATAAGAATCCTTACAAACATATATTCCTTGACCACACGTATGAACTGCCGGCTCAAAGTAATCACAATTTTTATTATATTTCTTTCATATCGTTTCTAAGCTTAATAATTATATTTGTCAACTCTTTGCATGCTTTGTGTGCTTTTTCTATTGAATTAGTTTTGGTTTCGTTTGAATATTTATTTTTTACGTCAACTACAATTTTATTATTAATTTCTATAAATTAATAAATTATCATAAATTAGATTATTTTATAATAGAAAGTAATAAAACATAAACGCCATTAATTAGTGTAGTTTATTGCAATAATTGCATAAAATGAGTTGATACCATTAATTCTCACATTTAATGGTCAATAATCTTAATTTTCATGTTTTATTCGTGGCTGTATTCAAAAAATACACACTTTTCTACTCTTATGTGAGCCATTAATTGAATCCAACTAATTATTTATTTATTACATTTTCTCCATCCATCTCATAGTCTGTGCAAATACTCTACGGCCGGGCGCTCACGAAATCCCATTTAAATTCCAACTGCCGGACAGGTATTGCTTTCTTTACTATTCATTTCTCTCCTATTTATCCCATAATAAAGATTTTTACCAAATATTTGAGTAGAATCTCAAGTGATTACAAAGTGTTTAAATAATTTGTGTAGCACTTACTGTTTGCTTGTAATCTACATTATTTACTGCATTATAATAATTAATCAAAAAATTGTAGCGAAATAGTGTTGACAGGCGACTGGTTTTCTATTAAACAAAGACTAGTTTGCTCTTCGGTTAAGTCTTGCGTTAATATTATATTTATATTATTAAAACTTTTATCATAAGAGGTAGTCTGTTGTTGAATACAATATATCATTTGGTGAACACTTTTTTGTATTCAGACTAGACTTTAGTTTTTGTCAAATGTTTTAATATTCACACTGTTCACACAATAAAAATAAAAATGACATTTACAGTATGTTTATACGAAATAATCAAACTTTTTCTCATTCTTCACATTTTTACTCGAAAATAGCTTTGAATAATCTTTTGATAAATTTCTGAAATAATAGCTCCACAACTGAGAGAAAACTTTTTATTTCTTTTTAATATTTATTATATAATTGAAAAATTCATGAAATTTTTTCGCAAATCTTTTCTATTTTAAGAATTCATTGAATATAAAACAATTTAATTATTTTTCTTTGAAAAATAATTGCATTCAAATGATTAATGAGAAGAAATAATTTATTAGTTTTTTAAATTAAAATTTAGATAATATTTAAAACATTAAATTTTAAAATACATACAAAATGCTACTGTATTTGAATTTATATATAAAATATTTTGTACACATTTTTATAAATAATAAATTGTATTCTAGTAAAGAATATTCAAATAATAAAATAAGATTATATGTAGATTTGTTATGTAATATGTTTTCTTTTTTCAAACAAATCTCCCAAAGTTAGTAAAATCTTAAACTTGTTTACTCGTTGGAGATTATATGATAGAAACAAATAAATTTAAAATTGCATAATAGTTACAATAGTTGGTTTCTATTTAATAACGTATTCAATTAACAAAAGCAATTAAATCATTATGAGCTTATTTTATCTTATTGTACTGAAAAGTAATAACAAATCAATTATCAGTCGTCATGTATTTAAATAAATATATGGTTTTAAAAAATTTTACGATTTTAAACTTTTATTTTAAGAGACACTTAAGAGGAACAAAAAACTGAAACTTTCATGGCTTAATCCAGGATTTCCTAAATTAGGTTCACATTACACTTACTGTAGGTTATTGTATACAGTATTACTGTTATGCAAATACACCCAAAGATTTTGGAAAATAACAAAGGATACCTTACACAGCATTGACAAATCTCATTAAAGTATCACAATACTAATTATTACCTGTATTAGTAGAATAGGATCTTCTCTAATAGATTCAATCATTTCTAACAAATGCAATTTTATTTGTTTTGAAAATGATATCACGTTTTCTATTATAAAATTAAAGTTTGAATTATATATAAAAGAAAAATCAATACATGATTATTGAAAGCAAAGAGTAAAAACTTGACTTCAAAGTAAACACAAATCATCACTATTACACTTTGTCGACTATTACATTAACAATAAACTGTATAAATAGTTAATATTTTGTACCGAAAAATCAAAAGCTTTTTTGAACACACTTTTTATACCTAATTATGTCTTCACAGACCATTGTTCTCCCCTTTTGTTTATTTAACCAAATTTAAGCAATCATTTCATTGACTCTCTTTGGTTTACACTATTTGTATAAATTATGCACAAACAATATCGTTATTAATACTACACATACTCATACTTCGGTACAAGTATTTCTACATTTTTGAACAAGTTCATTTACTTTAGCCAAACTACAATTACAATTAATCTCAAGTCTCTATCTACATGTGAACAAATTCATAGAATATGTGTTGAGAGAATGGACATCATTTATAGCATTAAAAGTGCTTAATTAAAAATATTAATTAATTAATTGATGCAAAGGGAAGAGGCATAGGATAGGAATAGAATAGGATTTAGTATTTATTATAGTTTTATGTTTATGTAATCAAAGCTCAGTTTAAATTAAAACAAAATCTAGAGTGGTTTTTATTTATCTGATACTTAACTATATATAATGTTGTTTCTGAACTTAGATTTAAATAGCGTCTCATTACGAGTAAATCCTTTTTAATTTTCAAATAACTATAAATGTTAGACTCTAATTAATTATTTGCAATTTCCTTTTTTGCTATCTTTTCGCTTGATTTGTCTCAATAAATAACAAGTATTTTATATTTTCTATTCCTTTTATATCTTTAATTATTGTGAAGATTAGAAACATTTTTTGTAACATTTATTGTGAGACTTAAAGAATTTATTTTATCTCTAAGAATTAATTAGTAAGTAATGGCTAAATTGACTGCCATTTCAGTTTTCAAGTCATTTAATAGTTGGTTTTATATTATTTTTATACGTAATCTATTCTGGTCTGTTTAGTGATCGTTCAATGATCTAATTGCTTAGTATTCACTAATATAATACACAACTGGGCGGACAGGTTATGTTGACAAGTTATCTATTTTTTAATTTTATAAATATTAATAAATATTTTCTAAAAGATTTTCAATTCACTTGTAAGCATTTTATTATAAAAGTTTAAAACTTTTTTTGTAAGTTTGCTGTTAATGAAAGGAATATTTATGTGAATAATACTGCATATTATGGTATAATATATTAATCATTGTATTACAAAATATTCTATAATTTGTTCACTAAAAGTAAAGTCATATTGAAGTTTTATTTCTAACAATCATTTAATTAATTTAATGTTTAGTTGTTTTCCTATTGATTTTTCCTATTGACTTCAATAATAAATATTTGTTGAGATTTTGAAAGCTATATAACGTTAACATGAGTTGTATAAAAATTAATTATCACTTCAATTATTCTAATTGCTGTGTTTTGTTTTTTGGAGATTATATTATATTTAATATTTTAATAAAGTCATTGTTTGAAAATTATTGTTATAAAAGCAATATCATTTAATTAACTCATTGAGAGACATATTGTGGAAACACCTCATATTTGAGGTTCAACCAAATGTCACATCTGTATGAAATTAGCATTTCATATAAAGGTTTCCCGTTTTATTAATCACGTATTTATTGTTTCTGCTCTGATTTAGGATTGATTTTTAAAACAAATTATTTAAATTATTCTTTATATTAAACATTTACAATTGATTTGAATTCAGAAAATTCATTAAAATTAGTTTTAATTAAAAATTATTTGTAATGTAATAGAAATTTATCTGAATTATAATATAATATAATATTATGTAATATTGGATTTGAAATGACAAATCATATGATTATATTAATAAGTATCACGTAATAAACAGATCGATACAAAAAACAAAACTAAATTGTACAGTAGTTTTGTTAGATATAAATGAACATTAACTATAACATTATAAAGTGCATCAATTATTAATTGAAATTATAAATAATGTATTGTATATTATTAAAACTTTAATCTTTAAAATAACTTAAAATAAAACTATAACAGTATTTAATTTTTTGTTTAGCTTTAATTTTGCACTTAATCAAATTGATCATAAGTTAATGTATTAAAATAAATTAAAAATAATGTAAAGTCCAGTATATTAAAACTAATGCATTATATTAAATACACTAAAATTATAAATAATTAATATCGATTGCAAAAAATTAAAAATTACTATTGCGTTTGAATTAATTTTATACATTACACTAATTAAACAACAAATTAAAGCAAAACAAAAACTATTAATTTAGTTAATGCTTAACAAGGAGAGATAAATTGACTATATTTATGATTGCAATTAATAAAAGCATTCAAAAAGCATTATATAACATTTGAAACGTTTTGTTGATTTCATGAAAACCTAACCAAAAGCGGAATTCCTTCATCATTCGAGAGTATATACGGATGTATTTGTTATTTCATTGAATATATCATTGGAGAACAGGACAAAACACATCGGTCTGGCTGTGAGATCACAGTCGAAGCACCCGTAAGGGACAACCTTTACGTGAGTATATCAGCAGTTATTTAATATTTACAAAATATCAAACATAAGACAAATATTAAATAAATAATAACTCAAATTCTGTATAAAGAGAATTCATAGTACTATATATATTATATATATTGAATTCTTAGTAGTGCTCCCCTTTTGACCGTATGATTTGATTTGCACGCAAACAAGAGCTTAGTTTGTAATTGTGATGTATGTGACTGTCCACACAGCACCCGTATGTTTGGTAGGATTTTTGTTATCAATTTTTTACACATACATTTGTTAGAAATGCATTATTATTCATTACTAGTATTACAGCTCATTATATTTGTATTTAAATTACTGAATATTTGAATTTTTATTGAATATTCCCTTTAGTTGACTGAAAATGCAAATAAAATTTAAATATTTTTCATTAAAATTTTATGACTTCTGCATCGGTGCTTTCACTTAATTTAAAATAAATAATTAATTTGAAATCTAATTGTAATTTATATTTCAGTTATCCGTCAGTGGAAGCACAGAGAAAGATTTGGGAATCCTATGCCTGGGCAGTGGAAAAGTGTATTTGTCGGCAAATTGTCGCGATTTGTCGGGAAAAGTAAGAAAAGGATATTTGGCAGGTCTGTCCACTTAGCCCTCTATTCTCGTTTAATTGACTTTTTCTTATTATATACTCAATAAGACTCGTTAGCTTCCCATTCAGCGAACGCATGGGAAGTGTTTCATAAATTTAAACCACTTTTTCTTTTCTATTGAGTAATACTTTGCTTCTGTAAGTCTTGAGCTAATGTTGTAAATAAAATTGCAAAGAGATTAGAGTCACATAAATAAAAATCTCCAAATAATGTGCAATACTTACAAAAGAGAGTCTTTATACTTATTGAATATAAAAACACGTTTAAAGGCATCCAAATGTATTGATTTTTATCTACATTTCCGTGCTTTTCAATTACTTGTTTGTATGCATCCCTCAATCCCATACACATTGTTAGTGAGACCCTTGGCCTCAAAACATACCATTCAATACATACAATACTCAACTCAACCTTAACCACAATTTGCTGACAAAAATATCATTTTATTTCACATTTATAAGACTCAACTCACATATCGATTGAATTGTTTGTATTTTCAGGTGAATCGATAGAAATTCATTGCTCTGTCGATAACTCGTCGACAGTGAGCGTCACTCCTCGAGCATCACTATATCAGATCCAGATCTTCATGTCCGGCGACAAACACAAAACCATCGAAACACTGCTCTGCGAACCCATCTTAGGGTCGATTATAAGCGCCGGACATAAGGAGGAAGAAGTGCTTCGCCTCACAATACCCGACAACTCAGTCCTGTCGATGAAGAGCTCTATAATAACTGTCAAATACTTTATTCACGTCACTCTTGACATTCCCTATACTATTGACTTGCATCTAAACCTACCGATTGTGATCACCAATAAATATGCATTATCTTAGTCTTACCAAAACATACATTTCCATCTCAACTCAACTATCAATTTATTAGTTTTAATTAACAATTTGAAAAGAATTTTTTAATTTTTCTAAATATTCTCTATAATCAATTGAATTGAACTTAATTATTAGCACAATTTATAACATTTAAAATTATACTCACTTTTGTTTAGACAACTTAACGGGTTATCACATAAAACAGGAATTACTTATTCGTTTCTTTTAACAACTCATTTGAGATTTATATTGATTTATATTTAATGTTTTTATTAAACAATTCCGTTTTCATTTAAATAATGACAACAAAACTTTGTTACTGTATTTGCATGAATATATAAAACTAACTAAACTATCAAATTCAATAATTCGCTAATATTAATTATAAATTTTATGCAAATTAAGTTGTTTAATTATATTACATATAACATACTATTCTGTATATATAGGGTAAATTTTAATAGTAAATGTTTCATAACTATTTTGCACAAAATATTTAGCACAATTAACCTTTATAACTAATTTATATAATATATAAATAATATTTGTTTTTACATTTTAAGTCTATAACTAATATAATTAAAATAAATAATTAAATCCAAAATTGAATGCAAATTAATAAGAAATAGTATTCAAAATATTTTCAAATATTCTTTAATTAAATAATCAGAAATGTAACTTAATTTTATGTTTACAAATATTTGATGGATTAAACATTTAAATAAAATTAATGTTCAGTATTGATAAAATATTTTATAAGGGAATTTACAAAATTATAATGTCAACACATCAATACAAGTTAATATTGAAAATTATACTCATTTATAAATGTATCTCAGCTACAGTTCCCTCTTTAGATCAGTATTAAAACTACAGAGTTCACAATCTTGTTAAAGTAGTAATGTTACTAATTTTAAATCAAAATTTATGTGTCGATCAAAATCAAAATCAAAATAATTTATAGCTTAACTACATACAGTGAATACTATGCTTACTTTTAAGATAATTTCTTAAAATATATGTAATTAGTGATATAACTATTAATATATTAATTACTAAAGTTTTCAATAGTTTACATTATTTCATTAAGTTGCACAAATTATATTTAATAATTTAAATAATTTTGAATACTAAACTTATAATTTTAAAGTTTAAATTGGTATATTATTTTTAATTTTTAAATTTGTTTTTGTTATAATAAAATTATCTAATAAACAAATATCTTAATTTAAAAAGAATTTGCTTATAATTTTGTTAGATCCACTAACTTAAGATCCTAGATAATATTTACTTGGTATATTATAATGGGTTTGTTATAATTTTAAAATCTATAATTATTTACAGTTATTAATTTTTAAAATAAACACATAGAAATTAAATTTTAATTATTATTAAAATTCGTATGATAATTGCCAATAAGTATAGAATTTTTGCATAAGATTTGCGAAAATAAATTATTATATAAATATTGTTATAAAAAGTCTCAAACATTAATAACACTTTTACTGGTAATTAAATTGAAAAATTGTTTTAATGATATGAACAATTATAGAGGGTTTAGGGGATTGATTTACATTTCAATTTTTAATAACATACTAGAGTTTAGAAACTCCTTTTAAATTATGAAATATTAGTTAGAGAGAAAGTAAAAACAATTTGAAAACAAGGTTTCTCTGGGAACAACCTATCGGGTAATGTTATTTCGAGGTCTCCATCCCTTACTATGCATTACGTAAGGCATCGAAATCACATTAGAAATGTTTTTGAACATTTTCAAATTTTCATTAGTTTATGAGATAAGTGTTTTGAAAAATAAAGATAAGACCGTTTGATGCGTTCAATTGAAAACAATGGGCAAAATTCAATTACAAGAGTTTGTAATTGAGTTGAACGCAAATCAATTTGTTTATTGCAGTGGACAACAAATTGTCGGCATTTTGCTCATTGCTTTCAACGGAGAGTTGGATTTCAAGCATTTAAAGCTCAGACTTCGGGGCGAAGCCGAGGTTAAGTGGACTAAAACAAAATGGGTCACCAGTGCTAATGATAGACAGTCCCGGATTATTACTTATCACCAAATTTTAAATTTCTTAACACAACACTTCGATGTCACTCAAACAGGTAATTATTTATTATATTTGTATATCATTATTCATTTATAAAATTATTTTCAGAAATTCTTATTCTATATAAATGTGCATTAATTCAATAATTATATGTATAATAAATTTTCACTTCAAAAACATCCATAAAATTTTCAATACTGTGATGTATATCATTATTCACTAACATTGAAGTTTGTGATTTTATTTATTTGATTAACTAATGCTTCTTTAAAGCAGTGATGATTTCAAAAATTTCCATCAATATTTATTTATAAACATTTCAGTGAATATTTCTGTCAAAATATTATAATATTAACATAAGCTTTTTATTAATTTCAATGACTTTTGTGAATAATATGTTTTGTTAAAGGATTTGTTTTTCAAATTGCATTTATGAGAACAACAAATATCTAGCTTCAATGCTAACAAATAGTTTGATTTAAATAGATTGGAGGGGAAATAAGCCTTTTTTATTATAACTTTTTTATCTCAAATAATTGTCTCAGTGAAGGAAACGGTCGTGAACAGGGGTGTCCATCGGATTCCATTCGTGTTTCAAATCCCAGAGTAAGTCATAATTTTATTTTATGGCACGACATCTCATTCTCGCATGAGTTTGAAGGACAAGAATATAATAGACTATGTTTAGCGGTTACACCGACTATATCACAGTTTGATTGCTGTAATTGCAGAGATGTTCCCAACAGTTTTAAAGGCAATTTCGGACAAATTCACTATTGGATTGAGGCTGAGATCGAGAAGTCATTGTTATCGTGGAATCACGAAACACAGACCAAGTTCTACCTGTGCTCTCCCCTCAAGGCTACCAATAATGTAGGCAATCATTTCTAGCCTCAATTATTTCCCTTCGCTTTTTGATCATTTCATAAAACCTCTCTCAAGACTATTATCATTTTTTATGTATTAAAAACTTTTACATTTTTTATGACTCGAAGGCACCTATAGTTTACAGAAGACTCCGAGACTATTGCTGTTGTTTTATAAAAAAGGGATCAATTGATGTGGAAATTAGTATAAATGAAAATTGCTTCAATGGAGGTCTGACAGTGTTTTGTTTGAAAAATTTAATTTATATTTAAATTTGTTTTGAATTTTGCATGAAAAGGAGACTTAATTAACGTCTCGTATGACATCAATAATAGAAGAAATTTTGCCATTAAAATGAAGGCAACTCTCTTAGAGAAACACATTTTTAAGGCAAACCATCACCAGAAGAACAATACAGAGAAACACATCGCATCCGAAGCGCCATATCTCGAGGCAAACATGCAGTCGACTGGAGTGATCCAGGTGCCCATTCCCGCCAACACCAGACCCTCCACCAAATGCTCACTGATTGAAGTGAACTATTTTGTGCATATTTTAATTGATGACAAGTCTTCGGGACTCGAATTCAATTTTCCTGTGATAGTAATGCATACAAATGATTGTCTCAATGAATGAAATGTTTATCTAATTCATTATAAAAGTAATATTCAAAACATAGAATATTCCGTGTTATAAACAGAATATTTTATAGTTAAAAATTTCCTAAATTTTCTTATTTGTTCATATAATAAAGTACAATGTCATTTTAATTAAACTTATATGTTTTTAATTTGTAAAACTCTATACTCTATAAATGTAAATTGAATTTTTTGTTTAAAAGATTTTTTATGACTTTGTTGACTTTTATAGAATTAGTTTTTATTACCAAAAGTATGATTATGTGAATCCAAAGCCCACACCTTTCAATAAAGACCATTTATGCCCACAATCGCACCCAACTATTAAATCACATTTAATTGAAATTTAAATTCGAGTCTCAAATATATTTTTTTAATTTATTTAAAACATGAATTAAAATTAACAAAATATTTCATTAAACATTAAATTAAATTATAACATAACTGATAAATAATTAATTAATATTAAATAAGCAAAATAATACACGTATTGTTATAATTGAATATTTCTAGTGTTTGGCAAATGATTTTTACTTTACAATAAGTAAAATTATTATATTGAATATCACTTTAATTATTTATACGAATATATGAATACTTGTGAAACAATAGAAAAAAAGGTTTTCTAATAAGATATAAATATCGTATGATTAAAACATAATAATTGTATGTTTAGGGTTGGGTTGGGCTGTCAATTAGCATTAAGTTCGTCCAGCGCTTGGCATTTGTAATACGATTATAACGTAATAAAAAAATCAATGTTATCTCAAATCAATATGTTATTAATATCACATAAAAGTTTTTGTTTAAGAAAGTTGGCTTAGATTCAACATTAATTGAATATGAAAATATAGCAATGCATTTATAAGTGGATAAATCAGCGCATAACCTGACAGACTATAAAGTCGGTGTCATTCACTTGAAAAATCATCACTCTGTCCGTATCACAAGTCCTTTTGACGACCTTGGTGTTCTCGGGCTGGTCTATGAAAACGGCCCAAAAGTGGCCAAACTTTTTCTTCATAGCGTCGCCGATATATTTGCCCATAGACTTAGTTTTGGTGAACTTATGGGAGGCATACGTGGCCTTATCAATGGCCAGTCGTTGTTGCGACAGTGTTAATGTGGATGATGCCAAGTGTACCTCCATAGGGGCTCTAAGAATCAATTCAATTCAATATTGGTATCAAAGTTAATCATTAGGAATGCATCATAACATTAGTGTCAGATTGATATCATAGCATGACTTCCGAGTAAATGAGAAAATATTAGATTATATTTACATTCTCTGAGTGTCTGACGGATTAAGCGTTTTTTCAGGAGTGCCTATCACTGCATCCTCCAGATCCTCGTAATCCTCTCCCAACCAATTCTTGCCATAATATAGAATAAGAGATCCCTTTTTCACTCTATATATACCACCTCTGGTTATAATCCAATCAGAATAAGAATCCGAAAGTTTATTAATTCGTTTATCTCTTCCGCCAAAGATATCAAATTGAATATTAGTTGTGCCGGCGGTTACATCACACCAGTGCCGGTAATAGCGCTTTGAATAGCCATTTGGGTATTTACTGGTAATTGCAATGAATAACAATTTTAAATCGTAACTCAAATAATGTTTCAACATTAGTTTGAAATATTTACTCTTATTTTCCTTTGAATTTTCTTATGTTTATTCTAATAAATAAAAAATCTACTATAAATCCCAATAATAGAAAAATTTCCTTTAATTTTATTAATTTTCACAATAGCTGTTTAATTACTTTTTGTAAGTGCAATAAATTTACAAAATAATAAAAAATTTTTTAAATAAAACGTCTATTCAATTATCAATATACCGATAATCCATAAGAATTGAAGGTAAACACCATTTACTGTATTTTTATTGTAGATGTTTTTAAGAAGCTAATAAAAAGGTTATAATTATTTTTTTAAAATTTCACAGATCATATAGTCTGAAATGAGGTCAAAATAAGAAGATAATAAAATATAAACTACATTTCATATAAAAAACTCAATCCAATTAAATTCACTTTTTCACTTTATATAAAGAGGTACAGAATAATACAGTACTGTATAATTCATGAAAGAGTAATTCATTGGTTTAATATAGACTTACGCCTTAATATCATATCTTTCGTCTTCTTTAATCGTTTTGGTCTTAAAGCTGGTCCTTTTGAAATGACCCTCACGTTTACATACAATCTCTACAGGAATATCTAATTTATTCCATAATGTAATCCAAGTGTCACAATAGGAGTCTTCAATCAAGAGGTATAGTAAAAGTATTTTCAAACAAAGCAAATACATTGAAATTAACTGAAATTATATTTAAAAGTTCTTGAGTCCGCTTTGCATTCATAGAAACAAATAATTATTATTCATTGAGTTTCAATGAAAACTTAATTTCAGTTAACCATTGGAATGTCAAATAAATTTGTAAAACATTTATAATAAATAATTTATAACAATCACTTAATGTTAAAGAATCACATAATTTGAAACATGTTTCTTTATTAGAGATTTAACAAATACATTTAAACAATAGTTGAGCACAAGTTTTGGCAAACTTTTAACTTATAGTTTATATAGTCGTTTATATATATTAGTTTTTGATAAACTTTTAAACTTCAAATCTGAGTTTTATTACTGAAAACCTTGAATTTGTATTATATTATAGTACTATCGCATACAGACGTGGAAAACCGTTTTTCCACTCGTCGTCGTTATCCGTACTCTTCGTCAAACATTTCGTAATAATTTTTGGTTTAATTTGAATCACGACTTACTTTCACTCCGACTGAATGTCTTTAGAAACCCATACCTTGTGTTACAAGTTTTCCCTTAAAAATAAATTCACTTTTGATTTATATTATCAAAACTGTTGTCTAATCACTGCTTAAGACCTCAGAGGACAGGTTCACTACAAAGTCAGACAAAAGTACTGTATATAATATATACTATATATCAATTAATTATATATTTTGCTCTTCAAAAAGGTTTTCTCCCAAAATTGTTTTAATTGATATTTACCTCAATTGTTGAAATGTTTTGTCCCGAATGTCATAATTAATGATATAATATAATAGGATTTCAAGGATTTATTAAATCATTTTTTCAATAAACGATAGCATTGTTTGCTATAATAGGTTTAAAATTAAAGAAAAATAAATTTTTTATAAAACGGTAAAAGTTTTAATAATTGATTATATGGTTTTGATGTAAAAATAAAAAAAAATTGAAATAAAAGTTCGCAAATAATGAAGTAAATATTGTTGAATGTATTTCTATTTAATCTTGAAATTTTAGTGCACAAGAAGTGCATAAGTACTATATTTGAGTCCATCATAAATCTGGAGATAAATATATTTATTTTTAACTTACTGTAAATACAGTAACTGTTAGTTATCATCACCTCATAGCAAAGGTGTGACACTAAAACATTATTTTAAAAAATAAAGACATTGAAATTAATAAATTAAAACTGGTTTGTCAGTATAATAATGAGGTTTACATTCACTTTAATTAAAGCATTGAAACAAAGAGATCAAACATTTATACTGATATAGTATGCAGATACTTTAACCAAATATAATTGATTACGTACTAAAATATGTTATTTTATGATACAGTACATTTTACATTTTTAAAACCAATAGAAATTTTTTTATGAACTTTTTATTTTACTTTAATGTTACTTAATATTTTAATATTACAGTACAACAACATAAATAAATGTAATAATACTGAAATTATAGTGAAATAACAGTGAAATTACTATTGCATTCAAAATACATTTTTCCCATAAATTAAGAATTCCTTTTTTGTCACAAAAGTTATTTTAATATTTTCCCATTTATTTTTAAATAATTTATTTGTCAAATTGTGATAATAGTACTTTAATTGAACACTTTTTGTACCAAATAATCTTGAAGAAATTTTGGTACAACAAGTATTTAATTAATGTGATTATTCATTAATTTGTATTTTCCTTAAATTATATCTATTTAAATCTTATTCTACAGATAATTATAAATTAAAATTTGGTTTGAATTTTAAAAAATAAGTGTAAATTTAATTTATATACAGCATAATAGTAAAATTATTGATAACTTAACAAAAGTGAACTAAAGGAATTGAAATATTTGTAATTT